TTCAAAGGTATTTTGATCAATTTTTTTTCACAATTTTTTTTATATATTTTTATTAGGTGTGCCTAACTAAGATGTACACACGCTCCAAATTTCAAATCATTCTGATTTGTAGAAAAAAAATGAAAAATGAAACACTACTGGACAATTGTGACCGTGCGACGAACTTTAGACGGTGATGAAAGTAGACGAAATCACCGTTTATTTTCGCCTATATATATATATATATATATATGTGGAGCCTTTTCCATTTATTTAAGAAAAAAGCTATGCAAATGGACATTGACTTTTACTTTGACTTTTACTTTGGACTACTAAACAACCCCATGTACCTCTGTCTAAATTTCTTCCAGGGCTTCAGGAAACCCAGGGTTAATCCTTCCTAAAAGGAAAAAGAGCAATGCATCTTTGATAATTGGAATGAGTGTCCTTGGATCCTTGCTACTAATAATCATTTTCCTTCTTGTGATCATTTGCTGTCTCTGTAAGGGGAGATCATCCAAAAGGCCACCTCCATCTCCACTTCCCCATCCCCAAACTAGCACCAGCACCATTGCTGAAGTAGGAAACAACCACAAAACCAACCTTACTTCAAGTTCTGTGGAAAATGACCAAAGTGTACCTATTCAAGTTGGAGAGGAAGGTGGTGAATATGGACAGACAGGATTTTCCACTGGGGAAATTGCAGACATCCAAAAGCAGATGGTATCAGAACTGGGGCATTTGATCCAAGAGCATGCCCATGTTTCATTGGCTTCAAATGAGGCCAGTGCTCCCCCTCTATAATTGCTACCATACTTTCACATCTTCTAACTTCTCACAATTTTGAGCTTTCAAACTTTGTGGTTATTTCATACAATACTCTACATTCATATTGGGGTTTTGGTTGCATAAGTTGAATGTGTGGTATATGCTCTCCATCCACTGAGGAAATAGCAATTCTAATGATGAAATTGGATTTAGAGAAAGGGGGCTGGGAATCTTTCCCTATTACGAGAGGATCGGAAAGGACTCACCTCTGGTGTATTAGTTATCCTACCCATCTTAAGTATTGGGTAGCCAAGTGTGGAGCACATAACTGTTGAAAGTATCTAAATAGCGAGCCCACGTCAAGATGAGTGTTCTCCTATTCCTACTTCTCCAAAGCTTCTTGTTGCTTGCTGAAATTATATGTTTGCTGTTGTAGGAGCATTTTCTCATTTTTCTCCCTCGGGCAAAACCCAATCTAGAAACATTTTTAGGACTACAAAATTAAAGAATGCATCAACCTCTAGGAACCTGTGAATGTGAGTGCCCGAGAAAGAAAGAAAAAAAGTCAGTGTAAAAATATTGAATAGGGACCATCCAAGTTTTGGATGGTATATCAAAGTATTTACGAACTCAATTTTTTTTCTTTTTTTAAAAATAATCATCTATTGTTGATGGATCCCAAAATTTTAAAACAAAAGAAATAATTCCTCCTAAGTACTTCCTTAGCCTGAGGTTGCAAATGGACAACAAGATACCTGAGGAGCATAATGTACGTGTCCACAGAGTGATTCAATCATATGGATCTCATACTGTTTGATTGTCTCGTTAAACGAGTCAAATATATTTCCACATAACATTTACTCATGGGTGTGGTTTGTATAAGGCCGAGGCTCTAAACAAACAAAACAGGGCACAACTTTAAATAGTGCCGAAATATGTTGCTTTAAGATTAAAAAATTTTTATGATGGCTTGAAAATTTATTTTTTCTCTAATAATACAATTTGAAGTTCAAAAATATTGTAGACCGAACAAATTTATGAACACTTGAAAATTGACGGTCTAGGTAATAAATTACAAGATGCACCATTTTCAATCATGTTTATACATCTTGAGGTTGAGATGATCGAATTGAAGGTTTTTCAGCAACAAAATAACTTTTTTTAATGAATTTTTGATGTGTGCTTTAATTTGATTATCTACAGCCTCGGACTTTTATAAACGTTTTAGCACCACTTGCATTATATTGATAGTCAACTTTATGCCAAGATGTTATGATGAAATTCTTGACTTCTTTTAAAAAAGAATGAAGTTTGTATAAGGTTCCTTCCTTAAGGTAGCACATCTCTAAAATTTATTTAGAGATGTCATTTTGGTATAAAAAATATTATGATTCCTATTTAAAAAATTTTAAATTTAAAAAATGGTGTAGATTGAATAGATTAATACACTTGAGAATTTTGAAAATGGACAGTCCAAATAATTTATTTAAAGATGCATTATGTTTTGGATTTGGAATTCTATTTTTTTTCATATTCATACTTTTCAAGGTCGCGATGATCAATTAGAGGGTTCTCCAACACCATAACACTCTATCCTGTAGAATTTTTTAGGTGCACCTCAATTCAATAGTATAAGGCTGCAATCTTATATAAACTTCTTCCTTAAAAATGAGATGCCTACAATACCAGGCGATATCCTATGGGACAATTAGTGTCATAAGTGCATATGTCGTTTTCCTAACGACCATCAAAGTGAAAAACAGTGGTTGTGTACAAGTCCTAACACCACATTGTAGAACCTCCTTAGAAAATAATGTACAAGTGCTTCTTCGCTTTTTGGGTTTTTCAGTAGTAATGTGCAAATGCTACTTATGGTTACAAGTGAAACCATTAATAAAAAATGTCTGGATTAAGGGTAATGACAGATAGCTTCTATCATTTGACCAAAACCTAGGGCTAGTTGAAAGTGGAATTCCTTAGGGTATTGCATGTAATTAGTAAAATATGGTGTTAGTGATCAAGTAGAAAAGAGAAATAGAGTATCTCGGTTTAGAATTTCAAGACAATTCCCTACATGTTTGACCTCCGAAAAGGAGCTATAAAAATTCAAAACACCCAACTAATGCACCAAATGGGGAAATCACAGATGAAAAAGGGAAACTAATGGGACTTAAAATCCAGTATGACAACAAATAAATCATACCTTATGAAAGAAAGTTATCATGTCTACAATTTGTTGTATCAATGAAACTGGGATTTTAATGGTGTCTCACCAATAACCTATGTTGGATAGAATACCCTAGTTATTCAGATAGTGAGCCTTGAGACTTCCCAATTTTTTATCATCACCGTCCAGTACAGTGTTCGAAAAGTCAACCCAGGACGACTAATTGGTCCATGCCCAAGCCGAGTCAATTCTGAGTAACTCGGGCTGAGTATCGTCGCAGCTGAAAACTATCAGGAAAAAAATCAAAAAAAGTTTTAAAAATAGAAAATATATTCAAAGTAAAATTCAACAAAATATAACTAATTGTAGTTAAAATAGTAGTGAAAAAATAGATTTGAGTTTGTGGCAGGGGGTATTTTTGAAATATTTTGAAAAAGATGGGAAAATTTAAAAGTAAGTATTCATGGCAAAAATACTTTTCAATATTTTTCAAAATGATCGAAATCATAAATAAACATGATACAAATATAATTCTTATTTTTTTAGGATTGTTTTATAAATTTTTTAAAGCTTTTTGGATCCCGGAGTCGGACCTCCAACTCAAGACAACTCGAGCTTGGAAAGGGCTTAAGTGTAAGTAACTTGACCGATTAGAAACTACTCGACCGACTTTTCAAACGCTGGTCCTGTATGTGTTATGTTAGCCATGCAAGCGTGGATGCAATCATCACATTGAATATCATACCAGTACTTAACAAATTGGCTGATGAGTTAGAGTATCCTGCCATGGATGGCCAATCTCAAAAGCGTATCTTTTTGGAAAGGTTATTCTTCAACCGTCCCCATCACTATAACACTCTGTATTTGATGTGCCCGAAGTGCTACAATAATAGTAACTTAAATCTTTTCGTTAAAGGAAGTTAAACATTTGGAAGATTTAGCACGATTGAAAGCCCCCATCAACCCTTTCTTCACCGTATTTTTCTCCCTCTGCAGCTCTCGTCGGCTCGCACCAGCTCACCCCAGCCTCCGTTGCTCATCAAACTGGATATTTTCTCTCGTCTCTCACTCACACTCTCTCTTATATCTTTTCTAGTAGCATCTCTAGCTGAAACCTCTCTCTTGCACTCTTTCTTATATCTCTGCAATTCCATTATGTCTCTTCAAATCTCCATCTTTCTCACTACCTCTCATGTTGTCTCTCTTTCTCTTACTCTCTCTCTTTGACTCCTTCAAAAATCTCTCTCTCTCTAATTCCAGCAAACCTTTTCTCTGCAAATCTTCCCCTCTCTGAATCCCCAGATCTCTCTCTCTTTACTGATCTCTCCATCTCTCTCTATAAAACCCAAAATCCCTCTATCTTACTGTCTTTCTTGGAAAATTCCTCTTTCTCCCTCTCTTTCTAAAGTATCCTGGTAGTAGTAATAAAGGCAAAGGTAGCTTCCCTATGCTTTCAAAAACTTTAATAAGATGTGGTCTTTTCTGTTATGGATGAAAATATAGTCACTTTTCGACAGCATTTTCTGTTGAAATTTAACAGTAGAAAACAACTTCAAAAGCATGGTGTTTATCAATTTGTGTTTTGATCTTCATAAATCTATAAAGAAATCATTTGATAAGACATAAATAAGATGATATCTATGTCTTAATCAAAAGCGTGTTTGTTTGGGTAATGTTCTTCTTCAGCCATCCTCATTACTATAGCACTCTGCATTTGATGTGCCCAAAGTGCTACAGTAATAGGAACTTAAATCTTTTCGTTCAAGGAAGTTACACATTTGGAAGATTTAGCGCGACTAAAAGCCCCCATGAACCCTTTTTTCCGCCATATTTTCTCCCTCTCCCTCTGCAGCTCTCGTCGACGTGCACCAGCTTGCCCCAGCCTCTGTTGCTCACCAAACTAGATATTCTCTCTCTTTTTTCACTCACACTCTCTCTCATATCCTCTCTCTAGTGTCCTCTCTATCGGAACCTCTCTCTTGCTCTCTCTCTTATATCTATGCAATTCCATTATGTCTCCTCAAATATCCATCTTTCTCGCTACCTCTCATGTTGTCTCTCTTTCTCTTACTCTCTCTCTCTTTGACTCCTTCAAAAGTCTCTCTCTCTCTCTAATTCCAACAACCCTTGCTGCACAAATCCTCCCCTCTCTGAATTCTCAGTTCTCTCTCTTTCTCTTACAAATCTCTCCATCTCTCTATATGAAACCCAATATCCCTCTATCTTACTATCTTTCTTTGCAAATTCCTCTTTCTTTCTCTCTTTCTAAAGTATCGTAGTAGTAGTAATAAAGGCAAAGGTACCTTCCCTATGCTTTCAAAAATTTTCAATAAGATGTAATCTTTTCTGTTATGGATGAGAATATGGTCACTTTTTTGCATCATTATTTGCTGAAATTTAACAGTAGAAACAATTTCAAAAGCATTATGCTAATCAATTTATGTTTTGATCTTCATAAATCTATGAAGAAATCATTTGATTAAGACATAGATAAGATGATATAGCATAAATAGAAACGAATTTCATTAGATGATTAATAAGAATTATTATGATCGGTTTAGGGTGGCTACTAATATGGATTAATATAAAATCAAATTTGGATCAAAATCTCTTTATAAAACTTATTTGAACATATTATCAAATACTTTGCATGTATGTAACCCCAAGCATACAAGAAGCATAAGCATATATCTATAATAAGAGCTCATTAAATGATTTATTCAAATCATCAATCTATTATCCTCTATTTCATACTCTATTATTGTCATCAATAACACCAAGATGAATAACTAAAAGTATGGAACGAACTCATCAATATCCTGTGACTAGAACTTGTAGAGCGCAAGTAAATCCACACATTTAAAGCATC